AATTAGGTTAACGTTATTTAGAACACTGATCTCAAAATAATAACTGGATAGCGCATTCGGGAAAATTTTTGAAACCCGTTTTGGCCTACCAAGATGGCGGCGTAGTTTGCCACACTGATCTCAAAATAATAACTATTGCCACACTCAGTGAGTTTGCCAACGGTTATAGAAGTACCGTTTAAAAAATCCAAAAACCTTAAGCGTAATCGATAAAGATATAATTTTAAACACAAATAAGTTTTTTTTTTTTAAAAAAAAACAATTTTTAAAAATAAAAGTAGGCATATATATATGGACCAAGTCGGATTCTACGTCATTCGGAATAGTAACCATTATGGAATAGGGGACAACAAACAGAGTTTCCTTGTAAGCGGTGCTGCAAAACAGCCTTTCAAGAAAAACAAGTTAAACTTTACCATGCCAAAAACTTGTTGTGTTCCTGGTTGTCACACAAATAAAGCAAAAAATCCAGAACTTGAATTTTATTGTTTTCCAGCAAAAGAATATTTACGGAGAAAGTGGATAAATGCTATTCACCGAGTGAGTGAGGATGATAATTCCGGTAACGTAAACCACAACAAAATTTGGTCTCCTAAATCAAAGTCAACCTATGTCTGTTCCTTGCACTTTATATCTGGTAAATAAATAAGTTTTATTTATTAATTAATTTGAAGATATTCTATTTGTTTAAGAATAATTTTAAATGTATGCAACAATTATTTTCCTACTTTTAGGGAAAAAAGAACATTTCGAGAAACACCCAGACGCTATACCTTCTAAGTTACCGTGGAAAAATCAAAAATCTCTGTCAAAAAAAAAATCACCTAGTCACATAATGATCTCATCACTTATTCAATCAAATTCACCTTGTACATCTGGTAACATACAAAGTAGAATAAGAAGGACATCAGGTTTTTATTGATATATAGTTTTACAATTTTATGAGTTTTGCCATAGTTTTAAAATAAAATGACAAACACTCAATAGATTTTAATATAGATATAAATACTCAAAGAAAGATTTATAAGATATAAGATATTTAAATTGTATTTATCATTTTAGCTAAAAGGCAATTGATTAACGATTTTAAATCTGAGGAAAAAGAAATATCAAGTGATTTATATAATTTTAATGTTGGAGTTGGTTGTTCTGTTACTAATGCAGCAATTAAGCCTGTTACTGGCAGTGTGATTTTGCAATTACCTGTGGCTTTGCAATCTTTTTCATCACAACCAAATTTTTCTTTACAATCACCTGTAACGACTTCAGAAAGAGAGGAACTTTATTTTGAAATAAATGAACTAAAAAATGAAAGGGATTGGTTAAAAATAAAAAATATTGAATTGAAATTAACTGTATTCCCATTTTCTTTAGAAGCCTTGAAGCAAAATCCTTCATTTTGCATGATGCTGACTGGATTAAATTATAAAGTGTTAGAAAAGATATTAGTTTATATATGTGAAAACACATTTGAGTTTGGAAAACCAACAAAACTTAGCAAACCTGATCAGGTTATTATTACCATAATCAAGTTAAAGCAAAATTTAAATTTTGATTTGATTGCATACCTTTCTAATGTTAGCAAAACAACCATAATTGAATATTTTTATAAATGGCTTGATACAATGTATTCGAAACTCAACTTTCTCATAAAAATGCAAGATCGAGATAACATATACGATACAATTCCTGGTGTTTTTAAAGCAAAATTTCCACGTTTAACATCTATAATTGATTGTTTTGAGACGTTTGTTGAAGCACCATCTTCTCTTTTAGCAAGGGCTCAGTTTTACAGTCAATACAAAAAGCATTGCACAATCAAAGTATTAATTTCCTGTACTCCTACAGGTGCTATAAATTTTTTGTCAAAGTGTTATGGAGGTAGAGCTTCTGACTTACAAATTGCACGTGAATCTGGATTTGTAAATAAACACATGCCAGGAGACCAAATCTTAGCAGATCGTGGATTCACTCTTCAAGATGACTTTGCTGCTGGGAGTTCTGCTGAGTTGTTAATTCCGGCCTTTACACGGGGTAAAAATCAGCTGTCCGCCAAAGAAGTAGAAACATCAAGAAAAATTGCTTCTGTTAGAATCCATATTGAACGCCTAATAGGATTGATGAAAAGCAGGTACACTATATTGAAAGGTGTCATACCATTGAAAATTATAAAAAATATTAAAGGTGAGAATGCAAACTGTATTTTGGCAAACTGTGACAAAATAGTTTCTGTGTGTGCTGCTCTGACAAATTTAGGAGAAAGCATTATAAATAATGATATGTAAATATGACATTGAATTTGCAAAATATTTTATTTTTGTTATATATATATATATATATATATATATATATATATATATATATATATATATATATATATATATATATATATATATATATATATATATATATATATATATATATATATATATGTATATTCAATCTACTTTTTGAATTAAGATGACTGCTTTTATAAAAATAGTTTTATATTTTTTAAGCTTAACAAATTATTTTTTAATCTTTTTAATATTTAGTAAGTTTTAATATTAAAAAGTTTTGTTATTCCAATTTTTAAACTTTTCCTAATAATCCTAAAAGTAAAACTATTTACTCAGCGGAAGAAATCCACAAACAAATTCCACTACAATCTGGTTGAATCCCAGCCATGGAAGAGGAGGGGTGTGTGTTTAAGTTAAATAATTTCTAAACTCTAAACTTGGATTGTAAAAAATTGCGATGGTTGAAGCTTGAAAACGTAACCCAAAAAGTAAGACACCCCACTCCAATTATGAGTTAATTAAATATTTTCTTTTACTATCTTATACTCAATTTAAATTCATCGGCTGGTTTCAAATTTTTTATTGCTTAAAATTTATGACCATATAAAATTTTTACAATCTCATTTTGGGGTGTGTGGAAACTTCTCATAGTCATAACTTTTACACTAAAATATAAGAAAAAAATTTTTTTAAACCGGTCGATGAATTTATATTCTTGTTGGATATAAATATGAATATACTAAGGTTTAGAGTTTAGAACTTACTTGAAAATTACTTAACTTCAAGAAATCCTGTATCCGCCCCCGAAGTTAACATTTTTACGGACACTTGTGATTTGAATTAGTAGATCTAGACACAATACAACCTTACGCTTCACACAATAATCATGCATGTTTTGGTTTCCTTATATTTGGTTGTTTACAAATTATAACTATAATTCTAACAATAAAAATGTTGTGACTGATCATTGGAGCAGCTCTGATGCTGGAGCTACCTGGAGTTGGTGTTTTTACATGGAGACGAGCCGTAGATAGAGCTAAAATATTTATTAAAGGAGCCAACTCCGGAGAGGGTCTTTCAGTACATATTTTTGGCTTCAACACCGTTTACAATAAACATAAGTGTTTTTCTTGAAAGGGATATCTAAGTATAGTAAACATTATTTTGTGAAAAAATTTATTCAAAAAATTATGGCCGCTTAAGTCACTAAAATTTTTAATGATATTCTAATAACATTTCTTCGTGCGCTTTATTAAAAAAAACAAAACAAGTAAATTATATATTATTATGGTATATTTTGTTTTACAATGTTTGATATTATATATAGCAACTCTTACAAGTTAGTGTAGAGGGGCTATTTTCTGTACTAAAATTATATTGAGCGATCTATGATCCTCACTCAAACCTGATATTTTTGATAACATATTATTTTTACGGATGAGTCCATTTAAGAAACCATTTATCAAATGTCTTATATATTACCAAAGGTATCTGTAATAAAAACAATTTTTTTAAAATAACTTTAATTTTTTTTCTTGGAGTCGCTCTGGAGCGGGAAACTGTTATCGTGCCTGAGGCAACTGTTAGACTTTGAACTAAGCTATAAAAATAGTCAATGTTTCTAATTACCATTGATTTCTTATACGTTGTTTTAAAGTTTTTGCACCGTCGCTAAAAATTTGATTTTTTTCGTTCATCAATTGTATACTAAAGAAACTTTTTCTTAATCAAATAATTTTATATGTTATATATTGCTATAAAACTTATCTAAAAAAAACCAAGAATTAAATGTCAGTAAAATTATAACATTAACAAGAAATATTTTGAGGTTAAATATTTACTGCAAGTTTAAATATTTATTGCAAAATAAAAAAACATTGCAATAACTTTGACGAGAAGTAGGGAAAAGGAAAAAGACAATGTTAAAATAAGAACATTAAGTTTCACAAATTTTTTATTGGTTCTTATAAATAAAAGCTAATAAAATTTAAAATGGTATCATTGTTTTTTTTTATTTAAGATTGCACATTGTTTGCAGTACCACGTTTTATCTTTTGGCAGTCGCTTTAATCCAATACAAATCGGATGATACCAGTTGTCACATCTATCGCAACCCACCATATTATCTACTTCACCAGGAAACTCACAATTTTTTATACAATATATAAACTTTTCTTGAGGATAAATTTCTTCAGGGTTAGAGTTTTCACAAGATGATGATGTGGACCCTTCTAAATTCCTGGTGATTAATTCTGGTAAAACAAATTTCTTCCAAAACAAATCGCATCGTTCATACATATTATAAAGGAAAAAATCATCCTTTTCAATATTAACAATGACACATTCAGATGGTGTCCATACCACAAAATGACAAAATAATGCTTCAGTGCACATAATTTCGTGTTGTACTTGAAAGTAATAGTTGTGGCTTTTTCTAAGAAAGTAACCATCTTGTTCTTTTCCAACATAAAACATACCACTTTCAATTTCTTGTTGAAGAGACTTATCTCGTAGGGCATAAGGACACTTTACCTCAAGTACACCATAACCACAGCAAGAACAAAAGACTACACCATCAGGCGAAGCTCCGTACCATGGCTTATTTTTGAATACACTTAGCCCTATAGACTCAACATGAAAATCGTCATGAATGGGGATGCTGTCATTCAGTGCCTTCTCTCGACATGAGTTTCCGGAGCAGATATTTTTGTAAAACTCTAT